ACGTTTTAAGATCAGAAGCTGCAGCTGTCCCAAGGGAGCATCATGGCTCTTGCTCTGACATTATAGGGGGTCATAATGGATGCCTGAGGCTTCTGAGCTATTTGATGGATTTTGTGCTTCGGCATGAAAAAAATGCGTAAACTTCATGATAAAGTTTGTATGTAAAAAATGATAGAAATCTTATCTTTCTAAGCTATGGCTCTCAGAATCCCCCAACCAGTATGCAGGCTGGGAGATATAGCGATGGTCTAAAAAAGTAATGTTTCTGAACTCTGAAAAATATGTAATTAAAAATAAATAAATGCAGAAGTTAATGCAAAATTGAAACAGATGATGAGTATGAATTCAAAAAAATGCAGATTGTAATTTTTTCACTCACGCCCTTTGTTCCTTTCATTTATAAGCCTATTTTTACACTGGATATGTGACTAAGCATCATCAGTACGGTCCTCCCTAGAAAGACTAAGGGTGCATCTGCACTGTCGAATGAATGCAGTTTGAACATCACGTTAACTGTCATGGCTCAATGTTATGGAGTCGTGGGATCTGTAGTTTCACAAGGTATTTAGCCTTCTTTGCCCAAGAGTTCTAGTACCTCACTAAACTACAAATCCCAGGATTCCATAGCATTGACCTATGGCAGATAAAGTAGTGTCAAACTGCATTCATTCTACAGTGTAGATCAGGCACGAGCAAACTTCAGCCCTCCAGGTGTTTTGGACTTCAACTCTCTAGCGGCTGTTAGGAATTGTGGGAGTTGAAGTCCAAAACAGCTGGAGGGCTGAAGATTGCTCGCGGCTGGTGTAGATGCACTTATAGACAGAATCCAATGGCCTGCTTCTTCAAGCAGAATAAACAAATAAATAAAACTTTATTTATATACTGCTCTATCTCCCCGAGGGGACTCAGAGCGGTTTCCAAGTAACATAATCAATACATACAGAATAAACAACATAACCATAAGATTAACAAAATGATATAAGCTAGACCTGTGCGGTTTCGTTCGTTAATTCGTTAATTCGTTAAACATTCGTTAATTTTTGCATATACGAAACGATAACAAAACATATTTTCAAACCCGGAAGGGTTTTTAAATATCGAAACGGCAGGCGCCAAAAAATTTTGTATTTCCGTCCATTTCGGAAATACGTAAGATGGCCGCCTGGCTTGCTGGGAGCTCTCCTCTCTCCGCGCCGGCTGAGCAAGCGAGCGAGAGGGCGAGCGAGAGGGCGAGCGGCGAGCGAGAGGGCGAGCGAGCGAGAGGGCGAGTGAGAGGGCGAGCGGCGAGCGAGAGGGCGAGCGGCGAGCGAGAGGGCGAGTGGGAGGGCGAGCGGCGAGCGAGAGGGCGAGTGAGAGGGCGAGCGGCGAGCGAGAGGGCGAGCGCGAGCGAGAGGGCGAGTGAGAGGGCGAGCGGCGAGAGGAGCGGCGAGCGAGAGGGCGAGCGAGAGGCGAGCGAGGGAGCGGCGAGCGAGAGGGCGAGCGCGAGGGGGGAGGGCGAGCGAGAGGGCGAGCGAGAGGGCGAGCAGCGAGCGAGAGGGCGAGCGGCGAGCGAGAGGGCGAGCGAGAGGGCGAGCGGCGAGCGAAGAGGGCGAGCGAGAGGGCGAGTGAGAGGCGAGCGGCGAGCGAGAGGGCGGGGCGAGCGAGAGGGCGAGCGAGAGCGAGGGCGAGGGCGAGCGGCGAGCGAGAGGGCGAGTGAGAGGGCGAGCGGCGAGCGAGAGGGCGAGTGAGAGGGTGAGCGGCGAGCGAGAGGGCGAGCGGCGAGCGAGAGGGCGAGTGAGAGGGCGAGCGGCGAGCGAGAGGGCGAGCGGCGAGCGAGAGGGCGAGTGAGAGGGCGAGCGGCGAGCGAGGGCGAGCGGCGAGCGAGAGGGCGAGCGAGAGGGCGAGCGAGAGGGCGAGCGGCGAGCGAGAGGGCGAGCGAGCGGCGAGCGAGAGGGCCCGCCAGAGTGAGTGCCTGCCTTCCCTTAATTTCTCCTCCCTATTCTACTAAATTATTTAATAATTAAATTTAAAAAATATTTAAAAAATATTGAAAAAAAAAGGCCCCATCTTTACAAAATGTTTTGTTAATATTTATGAAATTTCGTAAATACCGAAACTTTTTTTTGGAAAGTTTTGTAATTATTTTAAATATCGAAACAAAAAAACACCCCAATTACAAATCGATTTTAGAAACAAATTTTTTCTTGATCAAACAGGCCTAATATAAGCATAAAAATTGTTACCATAACACATATATATTCAAAGGAATCCTGCCTGTTCAAGGCAATTTAAAAGGCTGGGTCAAGATTAGTGCGAGCTCAAAAATTCAAGGGGGCCCGGGATTAAGTGCAGTGCTACAACAATAATATGTACGGGTCTATGGCTGTTCATTTCTGGGGCCTATTAGAGGAAGTGACCTGGGTAGTTGGTAGGAAAAATAAGGCCATATTCAACAGTGTCTAGGGCTGAGCTAGAACTAGTCATTCTCAAAGGCTTGTTGAAACCACCAGGTCTTCAAGCTCTTATGAAAGGAGGGAAGGGATGGGGCCTGTCTAACTTCCTTGGGGAGGGCGTTCCAGAGGCAGGGGGCCTCCACTGAAAAGGCCCTCTCTCTCGTCCCCACCAACCGTACTTGTGATGGTGGTGGGAGAAAAAGGAGGGCCTCCCCGGAAGATCTTAGAGTTCATGCCAGTTCATAGAAGGAGATGCGATCGTGGAAATAGGTGGGGCCCGAACCGTTTAGGGCCGTAAAGATCAGCATGGCAGAAGGACCTATGATCTCTCTCTCTATTTCCTGTAGTCTTATGAATCCTCTTCAGAACTTGCTCCGGAGTAATGGAAAAGCCTTCAGAGCAGACCTCAAGCACCATGGGAGGCTTGTAGGGAAGAGAAGACAGTTCTAATGCTACCACAAAAATTAAATTGAACCAAAGAAGGTATGCTGTGGGTCTCAGAATCATTGCATTCATCATCTGGGTCCAGGAGCAATACTTGAAGAAGCTGCCATAAACTACCATGCCTCAGTGAGTTTCCAATACACTGATAGCCTGAAGATTTCAGCTTTATTGCTTCCTGCACCTGCAATTATCATGTTTTGCTTTAGCCAAGGCCATAAAGAGGCCTAGTATTTGGGACATTTTTTCCAGTTCAGTTCACATGGGAAAATGCATGCCTCCAAGCACTGGGAAAATACAGTGTCTTAGGTAAATTTTCTAGAATGCTATGCTTAAAATCACTTTTTTTCTCATGCCTATTCCTCAGAGTTTCGTATGATATCTGTACTCTGTTCATGCACTGATTCTTTCTAGTCTGGGTCCCGGTGGCGCAGTGGGTTAAACCCTTGTGCCAGCAGGACTGAAGACTGACAGGTTGTAGGTTGAAATTCGGGGAGAGCATGGATGAGCTCCCTCTATCAGCTCCAGTTCCTCATGCAGGGACATGAGAGAAGCCTCCCACAAGGATGGTAACACATCAAAACATCCGGGTGTCCCCTGGGCAACGTCCTTGCAGACGGCCAATTCTCTCACACCAGAAGCGACTTGCAGTTTCTCAAGTCGCTCCTGACACGACAAAAAAAATTGGTAAGGTTAATGTTGGGTGTATTAAAACTTAGTGATACTTCTGATGTTTCATGTTCTACTGCATTATTTTCCTATAGAACCCCTCTGCTTGCATAAAGCTGCCATTTTTATCTCATTCCATGTTTTTTTTTAAATCTATCTCTTTCATTATGAATCTAGATTTGCAAAACATTTAATTGTCCATGGACCTTACTCTAAAAATTATCTTTGGTGATGAATGTAACTCGAACCTTTTGACTTCCAATCATGCTTAAGTTTTCTTGCTTAAAGCTTTGGGCTCGTTTAATAGTCTACATCAGTACTACTCAAAGTGATGATAGTCTATGGGCTGATGGCACTCAATATGCCATCAGCGACTAGATTTTGGGGAATGTTCAGGAAAGAAAGCAGTAATTCTAGCCAAGATGCACAAATATTGTATTGGTCACTGGTATATTGGGGGAAAATTGCAACCCTCTTCCTCTGCTATCACAGAGGTTAAGATGCACTGGTAGACATTATAATAACCCTGCTGATTTTAGCTTCTCACCATCCAGGCAGAATGTACTGAAAAGAACCATTCCTACACTGCAGAGTTGATTTCAACTTTAACTTTAGTAATCTCTGCCTTGTCCTGTGTGTCTCTACATCACCACTTCCTATGCGGTCTGATAAGAAGTTGGAACTGATGCTGGTGTGAGAAAAAGCTTTACAGTGCAGCAAAACCAAAAAACCCAAATAAAGATAAAGGTAAAGTTTTCCCCTGACCATTAAGTCTAGCTGTGGATGACTTTGGACAGTGGTGCTCATCTCCATTTCTAAGCCGAAGAGCTGGCATTGTCCATAGACACAGCCAAGGTCACATAGCCAGAATGACTGCATGGAGTGCCATTACCTTCCTGCAGAAGTGGTAACTATTGATCTATTTACATTTTCATGTTTTTGAACTGCTAGGTTGGCAGAAGCTGGGCCTAACAGCAGGAGCTCATCCTGCTACCTGGATTCGAACTGCCAGCCTTTCAGTCATCAGCTCACCAGTTTAACCACCAGGAGGCTCCTAAAAAATTCAAAGCTCCCAGTATTTCTAGAGTTGCAGTTAGTTCAAAGACTCCAGTCAAGATGGTAAACACTCTCTGGGATAACGTCGTTTACTTTCATTTTCTCTCACAAACAAGCACAATATGCACATGCATGTATGTATGGGACTTCAGGTTCCCTGATGACTAATGGCAATCCCAGGAATTTCATAGGAGTTTCTTAGGCAAGGAAAAATAACTGTGATTTGCCATTGCCTTCCTCTAAAATAGAGCTCATCACACCTGATATTTGTTGGCTGTCTCTCATCCAAGTATTAACTGGGGTTGAACCTGCTTAGCTTCCAAGATCAGGTGGGATCTGGTACCTTTAGGATATTTGTGCCCTTGTAAGTTGCTATATTTTAATAATGCCTGCCCATCATACCTGTGGTTTCTCAATTCCAGAAAGAACATCTTGAACTCTTTTTGTTTCTGTGTCACATTCTGTGTAAAGGAGGGGAAAGGGGATTGGGGGTGGGGAGAGAGAGAAAGAAAAAAGTCAGTCATTTTCAGTGGCAAAGATTTCTAGATGCACTACAAAAGACTTTAAAATAACAGTGATATGATACACATGTTACTTTCTCAGCCTTTGAACCATCAACAAAGATCTTCAGGATGGACTGCAGTCCTCTGTAGTGTAGGTATAAAATATATTCACCATGTTGAACTGTGGCCCTATCTACACTTATAAGCCAGTTTCTGAATCCAGATTACCCGTTTTGAACTGGATGGCTGTGTAGACTCATAAAATCCAATGCAAAGCAGATAATCGGGGTTTCTCAAACTGTGCTCCTCCATGTGTTTTGTTGAACTTCAGCTCCCAGAAATCACAGCCAGCTTACCAACTGTTAGGAATTGCTGAAGTCCAAAACATCTGGAGGAGCACAGTTTGCAAATCACTGATCGAGATTCAGAAACCGGATAATATGGCAATGTAGAGTCAGCCTTTGTGCTGGTACGGCTGTACCTGGAGCTCCTACTTCATTTTCTTTCTATTGAGTGTTTGCATGTATTCCAAGGTTCCATGCATTTTGCAATAAGATGGTTTCCCTTGCTCTGCAATTATAGGGCCAATGACCCATCAATCATCATGATGTTCTTTAGTTCCACCCCTTTCCCCAGGGCTCTGGGAGGGAAAAGAAAGACTTCAGGCAGTCTTGCAGTTTTGGAAGCCCAGTTACAGGACGTGAGCTTTCTCCACCTGTAGAGAAGCTTCGTTTCTCACAACATCCGGGAGAAACAGCCCTAAAGCTTCTAAGGAAAACAGTTTTACAGCACAACCCTTGTTGGGGTTAAAGATACAGATCCACATCATTCGTGGAGGAAATCCAAAATGACTCCAGCTGGAAAATCTACAAGGTCTTGGCTGGTAGGTCTACTTGGGTAACTAGAAGCAATTGGAACCGGGAGTAGGGCCCACACCAGCAGAGCCTAGAAAACAGATTGCCCGGGAGGGGTCAAAAATGGTTTTCCTTGTTAAAGAAATAGTTCTCCAAGCAAGGTGCCCACCAGTTGATTCAAAGCCTTGAAGCATTTGTTTAATTTGTTGAAGATCTAGGAAGTATTTGTTTGTTGAAGACTTAAGCAATAATAAAGGACTTTGTTAAACCTTTCAAGCTTCTAAAGACTCTGTATAGGAAAATCCTTAGGGCCTCTCACTTGAGGCACCCCGGCTTCCCGCTGGGCACAAAGAGCACATCCTGTTCAAAAGCCAACTGCTATAGGCCCAGCGCATGACAGCACAGCTTTTGTCTGCCTTATGCTGAATTCAGCCATGTTCAAGAGGAAGCAGGGCTTCTCGTGAAGCAGGTTTTGTAACCAGCTTTAATCAAGATATGAAATCAAAGTTAAAGTGCAACTCTCATCAGCATTAATTGAGATTCAGAGATGTGAGAATGGCTGAGCACTAAGGGGAAAATTTGGAAGGAATCTGTACTAAACAGAGGACAGGAATGAGACCCATATTTTATTTTTTTAACCACAAAAGAGGAGTGTTAACATAAACATTGGTTGAACAGATGGCATTTCTGAAGGTCAACCAGTATTCTATTTACATGATTCTCAAAGGCATAACTTTCACTGTGGCAGTAATTTAAATTTTATTATCAATTTAAATATTATTATGAATGCTTTTAATTGGCTATCTCACTTTAGGTACCACTCTGGGAAAAAGGTAGCATAAAAACAGAATACAGAAATAGTAAAAGACTGCAAACAGGGAGTCACAAGACATTGCATAAAAATGTATAAAACCCAAGAGAAGGAAAATGAACATTATAAAGAAAAGGCTTCTCCCTGAATGACCTGTTGTCTATACGCAGAGAACAATTGTCTGTAATGAAGAGTATCCCATCATGTCAGCCTCTTCCACACACAGGTTCAAGACTATCAAAGCTAAACCTTTAACAGTCTCCTTAAGGAGATATAAATAAGTATTGCAGAAGTAAGACAAGCTTTATGTTGTCTGAAGATGAAAATATGCCTTTGCCTTTTCCTGACTGTACATACCTGCAGAGAAAAAAGCCAAAACAGGCATATAAGGTTAAAAAACACCCAATTAAAATAGATCCTAATTGGAGCCTGAAGGTAGAACTTGTGTCTAATTGGCAAATCCTTTCTAAAAGTAGTCTTGAAAAGTTATGTGGCCACCTCTTTAGTGCCAAAAGGCTCCCCCTCGATGGACTGTCACCTTGTCGTGGTGAGGGGGCTTG